ATTTCTTCGATCACAAATGCAGACAGAGTTTTATGTTTACACGGCGCAATGCAACGCAACGCGTAAAAAGACAGTATAAGTCATTATAATCAGTAATTGTGTCCCCACTGGATGCAACAAATGCCTCGTTTGTAAAAGGTTTAAATGTTTTTGTCTCGTCGCTCAGGCCGGGATACAGCATGTTGTTTTTCTTTGTTTCTGTTGTTGAACGCCGCGCACAAATGACGTCGCTGTCGACCAGCTTATGTCACTTCTTAGTACACACTGTTGGTGCGAATGCCACCCTTTAAATGGTACTGGGAAATAGTTCGCGCAAAATCGTCCCAGTACTTTAGTACTGTACTTTTAGTTCTGGAACTAACGAAGTGCAAAATGGCCTAGTATGTGAGGGGCATAACATTTCCGTCTCACGCTTGAGGTATTTGGCCAATCACAATGCATTGAATAGCTGGCCAATCACAGCACACCTCGCTTTTTCAGACCGATGAGCTTTGTAAAAATCGACGCGTTTCAAAAAGGCGGGGCATAAGTGCACATCCTTAAAACACATTTAGACTGTTTTCCAAGGCTGCATGATATATTAAACCCATTTAAAAATCATAATTAAGCATAATTGTGAATTCACAAACGCTACGATTTAGTTAAATAATTATATGCGATGCAGTTCTAATACAGTATATGCTTTATCATTATTTACATGCGTGTAGGTACATCCGTGGCTTGCGGCAACCACATGTGACGACCCCGGGCTGTACTCCTCTTCGTCTACGGTGAAAGCCGATCCGGCAATCCACAGCGCAAAGTTGTAGTATTTCCTCAGCAACCAGCACGGATCAGCTCCAGGCATGACGAAGCAGATATCGTCCATTTTTGGAAGGCCAAACAAAGTAGTTTTGCTTTCACAACGAATCACACAGTGCCTTCACGACATGGTGGCGGCAACAACAATACTACAGCGAGAATAGAAGTTATGCCTTCTTTCTTTGCATGAACATTTCAGAATCCGAATCAGAATGAGCTTAATTGCCAGGTATGTGTAGCGAATCAGCTCAAGGGGAAATATGAATGATTAATCATAACTTGTTATAATTAATTATAAATATTTAGATCCGCTGTAAGTATTTACTTGACCTCTCAGGGTCAACTGTCTGTCAATTCTAAGAACGTTAATTTCCTGGTTAAGGGAAATAACTTTCTTACTGTACAATTCTACACAGAGCCTGTAGCATAAATCTGCATGATTAAGGGACTCCAGTTATGAGCAAACAATGAACAACGTCAAGTGTGATACAAGTAAGACTTTATTAACTACATAAACACTTAAACTAGTCTAACATACTACATAAACACTTAAACTAGTCAAACATACACATGCATACAGTTGGTCTAGGAAAATGAATTAAAGTTTAGGCAGTAAAAAGAAGAGAAATAAAAATATGAAGCTATGGTACCATTTGATATTCAGCAGATCTACAGCCTGAAGGAAACATCAGATTCTTAGTTCAAACACACCTTTGTAAAAAGGTGCAAATGATACCTAATGTATCAATAAGACTAAGTTTGAATACTTGCACGTCTTGTCTGTCTGAAAGAGAGGCTTGATGCAATTTGAAGGCTCAAGTTGATTTTTGCTAAAGTTGGTTGATGTAAAAGAACCAGTTTGAGTCCGAGAATCCTGGTGAATGGAAAGTCCAGGCCGCAGCCTGGCACAAACTTAGCGGGTTGAAGAAGCGTTCTAGCTCACATCTTCTCAGAATCTAACTGAACCACCAACTGGAGGCTGGTCATTGATGTGAGGCCTTTAAGGTCTGAGAAGATTCACGCCTCTCAGTTGACTCTTAACTCTTATAAAGAATATCTCTTTGGATTTGAGACTTTAGTCTTTGTAACTTTACAGATCTTCTTTATGCACCAAGAGCTTGTAACACTCCAAAGAGAAAGGAAAAATTTAAATCGCATCACATGACCCCTTTAAGTAATTTTAAAGGCTATTGTTCACTTACATATTTTTATTATTATAATTATAGGGGACTATGAAATCCGTTTTATTTCCAAATTGAGTTTTTTTTTCCTTTTAAATTTTTCTATACTCTGTTTTAATGGTTAAATTAAATTTTATTAATCAAA